TTAGGTCTAACAAACCTATCTTGATTTTGTGTTTAAAATAATCTTAGCACTTTTAATGATTAAGGAAAAATTCATGTAAAAATAACATTTTTGAATGCCTTCTATGCTAATAGTTAGGGGGAGTTTATGATCTTTAGTGAAAATTAATAATATGTTCAAATAAAACTTAAGTGTAGATTTAATTGATTGAACATGATTAATTTTCGAAATATGAGTTGTTAATACCACTAGAGCTGATAAATTTAGCATGCAAAGTGTTTAAATGTAGATTTTTGACCATTTTGTGCACTTGGTATTGATATTGGTCACCCAATACAGATCCTACTCTTGTTAGGTATCGATACTACTAGCATAGTATCGATATTGCTTCAATGGCTATCGATATTGTTCTTAACAGTATCGATACTTCTTCAACGGGTATCGATACTTCTTCAACGGGTATCGATACCCTTGAATCGATACTACGTAAAAATGCCTTAAAGTATCGATACCCCTCGAGGGGTATCGATACCCCCTGTCGGGTTTAGGCTTTAAAATCCTTAAAATTTCATTATTTTACAAAAACCTCAAACACAACACTCTCACGTCGTTCCTCTCTAAAATCACCCTAAATCTCCACATTGTTCTATTTCAACGGTTTCAAGTCGGAAATCTTTCATTCTTCAACTTATAATCCTGTTACACTCATCAAAATCGTGCAAACAACAACACATCCCACACAATCTCAATTTTTTCAGGGTAATTTTTCTAAAACACTATTTTATTGATTTTTAAACATAGGACTAGTTTTAGTTAGTTCTAGTTTGAATTAGTGATCGGGCATTTCTTATAATATAGTTTTACACTAGAATCTACAAGTAATTTTTATCAAAAACACTATTTTTTTAGAAATTTTTCAAAATTTTGAAATAAAAAAATTATTTTTGACTTAATTGTTGTTTTTGATTTAATTATATTGTTTTTAATGAAAACTATACATACTATAATTTTTCAAACTTAGTTTTCAAAATAGTTTTCAATTTTCCCATTAGACACTAAGTTAGAGAATCTTGAATATTGAGGGCTCATATTGAGTTTTGGGATTAATTGTGTTGCATAAATATGTTGTTTAATTGCAGGTATCCTATTCCGATTTCGTAAATCATGTCTAAACGTCCTAGGTCATCATCTAGTCGTTCCTCCCAACCACAAAATCCACCTCCTATTCCACCTCCAAATCCCAATCCTAATGAACCCAATATGACCATTCTAAATTCTTGTTTCAACGAACCTAACCGTAGGGGTCTCTACACTAGGTACGTTAATCATTTCGAGTAATATAATATTAAGGAAGAGCGTATCTCGTCTATTCAAGCCATGATTGACATGAACTTCAATTATATTCATACCCTTATATCATGGAAGTTTGATAAACTATTTAAAGTTAAACCTATTGTTTATCAACAACTCGTACGAATTTTCTACTCCAATGTCGTTTGCATACAAAACGAGTTACAAACCGAAACTGTAAGTGTTCGCTCCTATCTCTTCGGGTAATACATCAATATAGACTCGGACTATATAGCCACAACCTTTGGATTAGATAATGAAGGGTTAGATGATGAGAGAGAGATAGTGCCTTCACAATATGAAGTTAATTCGAGCGCAAGCGTTCTTGACTATAAAGAGTGTTTCCTACACTTCATGATCTCTTGGTGGTTTAGTACATCTGAAGGTAAATATTCTAGATTTAGAGCTCTTGACTTATGGTGGATGCATTGCATTCAACATAATAGGAAAATAAATCTCCCTCAAATTATCTTTGGGGAACTAGTAGAAACCATAAACAATATTCCTTCAAAAAGAGTTGAAACTTTAGTTTATGGTTGTCTATTGAGTAATATGTTCATCAAAGTAGGTCTTAAGGTTGACCTAGACATAGCCATCCCATTGACCACCGAAATTAACCTCAAATCCTTAAAGAAATCAGGATGGGCTGTAGACGACAATAAAAATTGGATTCGCTCAACAAAGAAAACTCCCGGTGCTAGCTCTTCACGAGATGCTCTTGCTCCGGCCCCGGCTCCGGCTCTGGCTTCGGCTGCTGCTCAAGAGCTTGATGATCTTCTACGGGATGTCGACAATCCCACAAACCAGCCCAAGGACGAGCCCACAAACCAGCCCGAGGACGAGCCAGCCAGGCAAGAGAGTCTGATGCCTTCATACTTTCGCTCTTTTATGGAGACATTTGACTTGAGGTTTACATCCTTAGAGTCCCAACTCACGGCTCAACATTTAGAGCAATAAAGGGAAACTCAAGCTCGCTTTGACGAACTCCATGATAGGGTCGATGCGCTTACACGGGATGTGGCTTCTATGTGAGCACATTTTTCTCCTCCCGATCCACCGATGGATGACTGACCTTGCCTTGCTCGTTTTCTTAGTTTGAACTTATACATTTTTAAACATTTTGATGATTTGGATGTTTGAATATTAGGTTGTTTGGATTGTTTGTGTTTTGGATGTTTAATTTTGAATAATTAGTATTTTTGAACTTAGTTGAATGTTTAAATTTTGCATATTTCATATTAGAAATCTTATGACCAATACCTATTGCATATTGTTTATGAATATTGATTATATGGACTAATGGCTAATATTTTTCTTGACTTTGACCTTAGCAGCTATATACATATATATACATCAATTTGGCAAACTTGTTTTAAAATGAATCATAGAGTCTTTTTGATTTAGCAAAAAGGGGGAGAATATAGTAAAGAGGGAGTGAGGAGTAATTTTTCAAAAATGATTTTTCAAAAGAAAATCTTAAAATTTCAAAAATGGTTTGTTATATCAAAAAGGGGGAAATTATTGAAAACATTTTGATATTTCGATATAACAAATAAAGTGTTAAGTAATTTTAAGATTTTATATTTGATTTAAAATATTATATTCGGTTTAATTATTCAAATATTTCAAATATTACTCCAAAGTTTTCAAATATCAATTTTACTCCTTACTAAATGAAAAATTGAGTTTTAGACTTAAAATATATTTGAAACAATTTTTACAAAGTATTTCGAACCACAATCGAGTCAAAATTGAGATTTTATAAGGGTAGTATCGATACTGCCTATACAGTATCGATACCCCCAAACATCAAATGCCAAAGCGGTACGGATACCCCTACATGGTATCAATACCCCTATACATAGTAGTATCGATACCATAGTCAATGGTACCGATACTACCCCTTTGGTTTTGACTCCAAATTTTAACATAATGTAATTTGGGTACCAATACCATGACCGGTATCGATATTACTTTACATAGTAGTATCGATACCCCTGGACGGTATCAATACTACACTGCAAAGTAGTATCGATACCCCTTGGCCACTATCGATACCATTGGAATGCAACGATCGAAATATTTGAATTTAAAACATGTAGTATCGATACCCCTATGAAGGAGTATCGATACCCATACGCTCCCAGCAACTTTTTCAAGTGGATTTCACACTACAACGGCTCTATTGACTCCACCAAGATTTTCGACGTTCAGAATTCATTTGAGGTGTATTTAAACAAGTTCTGAAGCTATTGGTGATTAAGTATTACACAAGAATTGAGATAGAAACAAGAGAGAAAGCATCAAACCTCAAGTTTGAGCAATTCAAGCCAAAATCCTTTCAATATTCATTTTTCTTTCAAGAACATACTTTGTGCTCAATTGTATTTATCTATGAGTGTTTTTTCTTTGTTCTAGAATTGTGCAAACATTCTACCTTGTGAGGTTTTTCTGTAAGTTTGCAAAAATTGTAAGCTTCTCTTTGAGAGAGAGTCTTCTCAAGAATTTGGGATATAATTCTTGAGGGAGTTGTAAGGTTACTCTTTGTCCTCAAAAGAAAGACAAATTAGTGAATTTATGGAAAATCGTTAGTGTGGATAGCTAAGGTAGTGGACGTAGACTTTGGTTGAGAAAGTCGAACCACTCTAAATCACTGTGCAAATATTTTCAATTTTCTGTCAAAGCTTCCACCAAAATTTTAATTGCCAATTCACTCTCTCTTGGCTATTTCATCTGATCGATTAACTCAACAATAATTTAAAGGGATATGACCTTTGTTTGTGAAATTCATGACATTTTTAGTAAATAAGACACTAGATTCGTGTTTTGAAGGTTAGAAATGAGAGAACTAGAAATTTGGATTCTAACGATTGTCTTTGGCAATGATAACAGTATTCGATAATGATGATTGACGACCAACAATAGAGATTTTAACTAGATTCAAAGTCAAATTGATATTTTATCTAAATTTTAAGGATTAAATTAATATTTTATTTTAAATTTAAGATCAAAACTATCATTTTATTTAGAACTCAATGATCAAATTAAAAATTAATCATTTTTTATTAACATTATTAACAAGTTAATAAAAATTAATTACTTAGTGATCAAAATGTAAAGAACTTTCAAAATCGATGATTAAAATAAGACGTACCAAAAATTGAAAATGAGTGTAGTTCAACCTTTAAATTTAGTTCTATTGTACGTCAGCTTTAATATACGTTAAAAAAATGTTTTACAAAAAATATTATTATTTTTTAACATTTTCTGTAAAACACTACTTAAAACATTATTTTTTTTATCGAAAATATTATTTTCGTTAACTAATTTCCGGTAGAACCTAATATTAACATTTTCAGTAGAAAAAAATAATATTTTAAGTAACGTTTTACTGAAAATGTTAAACATTTTAGGTAACATCTAATATTAATATTTTTATATAAAAATAATAATGTTTTAAGTAATATTTAAAAAAAATTAAAAAAATAATAATATTTTTGATGATATATTTTTTAACCGTATATTAATACGGTCTTACCTTACATCCTCGTCCTTGTTCGCATCTGATCCCATAATGTTGTTTTCCACCTTGGGATATCCTTTTCCAACCAATACCTACCGTCCATTTCTACTCTTCTTTTATCTAACGAAACTTGTTCACAGTTCAACTGTTTTCTCCTCACTTTTCTGTGTGCTCAGTTTGACTCTCTTCTTCTATCCCATGCCTTGTCGACCTGATCCCCATGTGATCCGATTCTTTGAGTTCCGTTTCGGACCTTACCGTCGTTTCTATTTTATTACTTCCGTCAAACAGTTAGAACAGAGCTCCCCCAAAAAAAACACGTTTTACTTTCTTACTCAGATCGATCCCTTTTTTTGTCCGTTTCAATTTAAGAAAGATTCTTGATCTTTCTCCCAAAAGATCTGATTTTCTTCGTTGGATGGATCATAATGACAACAAGGTGAACAAAGCGATGACGTCACTACCCGGTATGTCCGACATCGTATTAGGCTGCGTGATGCCGTACATCGACGACCCTAAAGACCGCGACGCCGTTTCTCTTGTTTGCCGGCGGTGGTACGAGCTCGACGCGTTGACTCGCAAGCACTTGACCATCGCGCTCTGTTACACGACTAGTCCCGATCGGTTGAGGCGTCGGTTCCCCCACTTGGAATCGTTGAAATTGAAAGGGAAGCCTCGGGCGGCGATGTTTAATTTGATACCTGAGGATTGGGGTGGGTACGTTACGCCGTGGGTGAATGAAATCGCGGAGAATTTTAATGGCTTGAGGTCCGTGCATTTCAGAAGGATGATTGTAAAAGATTCGGATCTGGAGGTTTTGGCTAGGTCTAGAGGGAAGGTTTTACAGGTTTTGAAGCTTGATAAATGCTCTGGCTTTTCTACTGATGGTCTTTTGCACGTTGGCCTCATGTGCCGGTAAGGTTCTTTTCCCCCTTTAACGTTAACCTTGAAAGTGTTAATTTTGCTTGGTACGTTCGATTAAATTCGTTTTTTGATTCGACATTTTTAGAAAGAAATTATGAGATATGGATTGAACTCACTGGAACCAGGATTGAGTTAAGAGATTGATTTAGTAACTTCCTATTAATTGGGTGTTAAAGCTTAGCTTAGCTTAGCTTAGCTGACTTGAGTTGGTTGAGTTGAATTGTTGGGAATATTTGGCTTAGCGTTTAACTTCTTTGATACATATATGCAAGCTCAATTGCTTCTATATGTAACCTTTCAAATTCAATCGTTTGAATTTAAGGCAAATCTTTCTTTTCCGGAGCCTTTAGCATTTGCATTCATTGGTGTGGCTGTTGCTGTGATGTTTGATTGTCGAACCAATGGAAATTGGTATGAATGATGAATTATTTTGATTTCATATGTGAGAAACAATTATGAGTTAGTGACTGATCGAAGTCAGAGAAGAAACAGCTATGGAAAATTTGGTCATGTGGTACACTTTCATATGTTTATTAAATTACTTGACTGATTTTCTCCTCTGTGACTATGTCCGACAACATTTTGCTGCAAGATGGAAATAGAATACTATATTGACTAAGGGTCAGATTGCTGTAGTTTTTTAGTATCATTTCTGCTTGTAATAATTTCTTGCTTAATGAGATTATGCATGTTCTTCACAACAATCTACATCTAAGGATCACTGATTTTTGTTTTGGGGGCAATGGTAGATACGCTTGTTATTTTATGCCTTTTAAATCCTTTTTTTATGACTCAGATCTTTATATGTTTCCTCAGGCAATTAAGAACCTTGTTCTTAGAAGAGAGTTCAATTATTGAGAAAGATGGTCAATGGCTTCATGCGCTTGCAGTAAATAACTCGGTTCTCATGACTTTAAACTTTTACATGACAGATCTTGTCAAAGTGAGTTTTGAAGACCTTGAACTCATCGCCCAAAATTGTCGTAACTTGGCCTCTGTGAAAATTAACGATTATGAAATTTTGGATCTTCTTGGTTTCTTTCGTGCTGCTTCTGTCTTGGAAGAATTTTGTGGCGGTTCATTCAATGAACAACCAGAAAGGTATAGTGCTGTATCATTTCCGCCAAGGTTATGCCGTTTTGGTTTATCCTACATGGGGAAGGATGAAATGCCAATTGTGTTTCCATTTGCATCTTTGCTTAAAAAGTTGGATCTCCTTTATGCATTACTGGACACAGAAGACCATTGCTTGTTAATCCAAAGGTGCCCCAACTTAGAGGTTCTTGAGGTACAAGTCACAAAACCTTGTCTTAACTATTTGGCTAAATGCCCAAATAAGTACCCAAACTATATCATTTGTGCCAAATAAATGTCTACATTTATTTTTGGCCCATCCGGGTGCCTAACGTTACAAACGTTAGCATTTTAGGTGTCTAGGCTGTCAACGGCGTTAGTTTTCCCCGATTAGTGACACATGTCATAACATAGTAATTTTAAAATTTTTATATAAAATAAAAAAAATTATATATTTTTTAAAAAGAAAACACAAATTTCAAAATAACCCCTAAACTTTGAAAACCTTCATTTTAACCTTTAAACCCACGCCAACTTTCGCCCTTTACCGTCGAAGAAGATCCACCCGATCTCCCCTTCCCCCGATGACAAAAACCCCTATGAAATTGTGATCGATTGACTATTGATCGACGACAAATCGACGCTTTAAATCTCGTGAACCCTATGATGAAAATCGTCAAGGGCTACGTCGGCGGCGGTGGTCGTGGCCGGATAGGGCAGCGACGGCGGATTAAGGTTAGGATTTGGGATTTTGGGCTGTTTTATAATATAAGAAAACTTAGGGTTTTCTTATAAATGTAATAATATTTTTTTAAAATAAATTTCAAAATTACTAGGTTGTGACATGTGTCACAAAACGGAAAAAACTAACAGTTGATGGCTTGGGCACCTAAAGTGCTAACGTTTGTAACGTTAGGCACCCGGATGGGCAAAAAATGTAGGAACTTATTTGGCACAAAAGGTATAGTTTGGGCGCTTATTTGAGCATTAAGCCTAACTATTTTTCTGCACTGCTTTCTTGGAATTGCTTCTCTAATTTTATTATTTTTTGGTCTGGGATTCTGGCTGAACTTTTTGGGCTTTGAACTGAAAATTTTATTTTCCGTAATAAGTGTAGCTTTTATTGTTCAAGTTATTTTTCTTTTTTGAGATGTTTTCCAAAATATGGTCCATCATTAAGACACTTTGGACCTTGGTTTCTGAGCTTTTCTTTCATGCTTTAGGATAAATAGTATGTTCTTGAATATTAGCAACCTTATTGTGTGTGTGTGGGGCAAGGTTTATGGCATTGAGATTTAATTAGTTGAATACTAAATAGTCAAAAGTGGTCTTGGAAACTGTTGGATAGTGTGAAATGTCAAGGAATTATGGAAATTCTGTTATGTTTTTTATGCAAATATTTAATCAGGTCTTATTAAATGAATTTTTTGGATGGACAGGCTAGGAATGTTATAGGAGATAGAGGATTAGAAGTTCTAGCTCGAAGCTGTAAGAGACTAAAGCGGCTTAGAATCGAGCGTGGTGCTGATGAACAGGGAATGGAGGATGAAGAAGGTGTTGTTTCACAAAGAGGATTAATGGTTTTAGCTCAGGGATGCATTGAATTGGAATACTTGGCTGTTTATGTATCTGACATCACCAATGCTGCATTACAGTACATTGGGACATACTCAAAAAATCTGTGTGATTTCCGTCTGGTTTTGCTTGACAAAGAAGAAAGGATAACAGATTTGCCTCTTGACAATGGAGTACGAGATCTATTGAGGGGCTGCGAAAAGCTTAGAAGATTTGCTCTGTATCTCCGACCTGGTGGTTTAACTGACGTGGGACTTGGTTATATTGGACGATATAGTCCAAAGGTAAGATGGATGCTTTTGGGGTATGTCGGGGGATCCGACGCCGGGCTATTGGAGTTCTCAAAGGGATGCCCTAGCTTGCAGAAACTAGAAGTGAGGGGTTGTTGTTTCAGCGAGCGTGCACTAGCAGCTTCTGTGATGCAACTAACTTCTTTGAGGTACTTGTGGGTGCAAGGCTATAGGGCATCAGAATCTGGTCGCGATCTGTTAGCAATGGCTCGGCCATTTTGGAATATTGAGCTAATTCCTGCAAGAGTAGTAGTTATGGCTGATCAGAATGTGCTTGAGCAGCCGGCTCAGATACTGGCATATTACTCCCTAGCAGGAACAAGAACAGATTTCCCTGAAAGCGTGATTCATTTGGATCCATTAGCCACCGGAGTAGAGCTGTAATAAGATTGTGTTTTTCCCCTGTAACTTTGAAAGCACTTGGAAGATGGTGGGCTACCCTGTTTTTCCCTTTGCTTATGGAAAGTAGCTTAGGTTATTCTGTACTGAGAAATGTAACTTTTCATAGTATTAGACATTGAAAACGTTAAATTTCAAGTTCTTTTTTTTATGCTTTGATGGAAGGAAATGTTCTTGCATAAGAATTCATTTTGACGTTCACCTTTGATCTACTTCCTGCTTAGTGTTGTAGCCTTGGAAAATTTTAACAATGGTTGAGTTGTTGAAATAGTTTTGTAAAAGACTGCATGTGAGAGGTGCCAAATTACAGCGTATAGATATAGCTTCTATCAGAAATAATAGAATCCATAACATAACATATACATGTATGCTTTGAAATTTACTACTTGAAAATCCTATTTATAAATTCTTAACTATACTAAATATTAAATATGTATGTCATTAGTATCGAGAAGTAAAATATTAAACATCGTAAATTATATTCAAAATTGATTTTTGGTGTCTAAAGAATTTTTCGTTAAAAATGTGTCTAATATTTTCTCCATTTTACTTTTAGGCGTCTACCGTTAAAAAAACTTTATGTGTCTGTTCAGATTTTTTTTAATATTTTTAAATATTATTTTATTTTCTAAAAAAAATAAAAAAAATATAAACGTAACATGTGTTACTTAATGGGATTTTTTTTAACGTAGACACCTAAAAGTGTAACGGAGAACATTAGGAACATATTTTTAACAAAAAATTCTTTTACACCAAAAGTTAATTTTAATAAATTTAGGCAATTATTATTTTTGAATTAATCACCGATATCCGATCTATTGACCGACTAATCCAGATCGGGTACTACATAGACGAGAACGATCCTCCCAACCCGGTTTGCTCCATTCGCAAACGCCAGGATTCGAATCTCTGACTAGTGGCCCATCCCATTAAACCAACTGGTTGTTGGTATTGTTCTTTTTAATTGACTATGTAATAATATTAGCTTTCTACCGAATATGCGCATAAACAATATAACTCCAAGGGACGAGTTGTATAATCTCAAGGGATGAATAATATGACACTACAATGTGAATAATATAACCTCAAAGGATGACTAGTATAATACAATGACACAATCTCTATAACTCGCCAATCATATCTATCGACTTAGGAGTACATCTAATGAATAATTTATTAATAATATTATTAAGTATGCTTGTCATACCCACAAGGCATTAAAACCAATCATATTTCAAATTACTTAAGCAACATGACAACACTTATCATATAGCTAACAATGACACACTTTCATGTAAAAAATCATAACATATAACATACTTTTAATTTATAAATTATACCTTAAACATTCATACCTCAAGTTCTTCCGGCACCCTTAACATGGAAATACACACGTATAATGAATTTATAGTAAGAAGTATTTGTGCATATCTAAAAATATTTTTAGGGCGACCACACATATATTAATAACACAAATTTTTTATATGTGAAAAGATACAAATAAAATTTCCGACTAAACACTATCAATAAAATATATAATTAACCTAAAAAACCTCGGCCTACCAAATGGATTTTCTCAAGTGAATTCTTAATTTTGATAAATATTAAGCGATTTTAATGTTTGAAACGTGATAGATCAATTTTTAAATGAATCCGATTTTTGAATTTGATACTAGATAAATTATGAAATATTTTATATTGAGTTTGTTTTTCACATGTCTATAAACGAATCGAACGAATACGAACGAGGGTGTGTTCATATTCGTTCGTTTACCATTAGCTGAACAAACAAAGAAACACAAATAACTAAACGAATTAAATTTATTGTTCGTGTCCGTTCATTAAGGAATGAAGCTTGTTCGTGTTCGTTCATTAAAACGATAAACAATACAAAAAAACAAACGTAAATAAACACAAACGAACGAACGTAAACGAATAAACATAAAAGTAAGCGGATTTATATTTGAAAAAAAGTTTTTCCTTTCCAAAAAATTTTAAGGTTTGCATTTTCTTTAATTGATTTGGGTATTTTTTTATTTGAGTTTAAAATTAATTAGATTTTAAAATATTAATAGGTTTAAGGTTAAAATTTATTAGGTCTTAGTATTTTAAATGGGGTTTGAAGATTGGACTAAATATAAATGATCGAACATAAACAAACATAAATGACAAACATAAATAAATGAACATAAACGAATATAAAAGAACGGATTATTGAACACTCACAAACGTAAAAGAACGAATGAGCCATTTGTTCATGTTCGCTCGTTTGATTAAACGAATATAAAATCTTGTTCATATTCGTTCGTTTAAAAAATAAAAGAACATAAAAAAACTCCCACCAAACGGTTTGTTGAACGTTTGGATCGTTTACAGGCGTAATTTTCTATGATTAATTATTATTTTATTTGATTTTAAATTATTTTCAACAGTTGGAAATATTCAACTGATTTTTTATGGAATTCAATTTTTTGAACATGTTATCAAATGTTATTACGAATTATTTTATATTGAGTATCCCATAATAATTTTGAATATCAAGCAAATATTTTGAAAATAATTTTGAATATAAAGTCGAGATTTAAGCAGTTTATTATTATCTGTGTGTATAATTAATTTTAAATTAAGGTGGATTTATCTATGAACACATGTACTTACGGGTATTTTATACCAAGTGGATGTCACGATATTAATTTAAAATATTAGATAAAATATTTGAGATGCCGACGAAGAAAAAATGACTGAAAACGCTCCTGAATCTTCGGACCTCCTTGAAGCCTCTAGGGATCCAAAAAAAAAATCCTGCCGGCGGGATGCTCTTCCCCTCGAGCCGCTTGACCCATCCGTTGCTCAGCCTAATCCCACGCAGTCTCCTCTCCGCATGGATTGCAATGATGCTTCAACCCCAAAACCCCTGATTTCGTATAAAGATAGGGTCACGGGTATGACGCAAAGCCCCTCCCAACTTCCTTCTGAGGATCAATTAATCGGCACCGAGGATGAAGATATTGAATCATTGGAAGATGATATTCGAGTAGGAGAACAAGAAAGGATTCCTTTCATTGAATTCTCCAACACTTGGCTTTTAAAAGTATGGATTTTATCCTAATTATCAAAGTTCTTAGCCGAAGAATCGGCTATAACACTCTCTATAATCGGGTCTGTAACATCTGGAAGCCTTATCACCTAATAAAGTTAATAGATATCGAGAACGACTATTTCCTGGTGAAGTTCTCTTACAGATGAGAAAGCAACGGCAGAGTTTGAAATTCCAGTAGAAAATGTTTTAGAAACAACTCAGCAGGATGTCAGACAAACTATAGATGTGATTAATGATAGCAAACAAGGCTCGACTCAAAAAGCAAAACAATGGTACTCATATGCATACTATGTTAGGCCAAAAGTGTCATTCACTTCTGGGTTCGAAAATTTTAGAATACAAATGTTGTATAAATGAAATTTGTTAGCTCTTACGATCAACCGAGAAACGTCAAGAGGGTGATGAATTGACCTTTAAAAAATTGGTGTGAAAGCAATCGGAAAATTAAACGTTTGCACATTGATTTAGAGTGGTTCAACTTTATCAACCAAAGTCTATAAACATTATCTCAACATCCACTAGATTTGTTAACCTTTAAGGACAAATTATAACTGTAGTAACCAATTTTTGGTCCCTACATAGCTTCCATACATTGATGTCCCCCATGCACAACCCATGCCCTGTTGTTCCCCACTAAGTGTCATTTCCAAACCCAACACCTTCCCATACCGTGCAAGTCCCATACCTACCCATCCATCAAACAGTGACATAAACAGATATCAATCAGAAAAATCCCAATAAAATATAAGAGCAAATCAAGTCTAAAATCCCGAGGGATTTATCAAATCCATCAAGCATGCAATAAAAGAAAGGGAATGAGGAGATATCAAGGACATTCGGTGATGGTTAAAAAAAAGGGAGAAAGAGACGAGGGAGAGCATTCGAAGAGAAAAAAAATACCCATTCGAAAAAGCAGAGAGATTCATAAAAAAATCAGAGAGTATAACCATCAAAAATAAAAAGAGTGAGAGGAGACTTACCTTTCCTTCATCGGACAGCAGTTGCGGTTTCCTTGGTCCATCGGAGTCATCCTCGTCAGTTACTGTGTGGGTATGATTCTTTCTCTCTTTCTTTCTTACCTTCATCTCTTGAAAATGGGGAGGTATAGGGAGAGTGAGAGAACACGGCAGTGGAGGGAAGAGAGAAAGTAAACAGGGAAAGAGAGAGTTTAAGGTTTTAGAAAGTTAAATGAAATTTGGGGGGAACCAATTCAGTTTCATTTTAGGGCCTTGTGTTTGGTGTGAAATGACACCGTTTTGGGTGTTATGTTTCTCTGGGTCCATCTTGTGGTGTAATCATGAGAATGGGGTTGTATCTTTGTAAAGTTTGTATTTCAATGCTTTCTTTTGTAAAGCTTTCATTTAGGTCATTGAATGAAATTTATTTCCTTTTATTTCGAGTAGTTATTTATTTGTACTCTTATTTTAATCCTCTTTATGATAGATACATTTATGAAATTATTTAACTTTGGTTATTACATTTATATGTTTATATTTTAGCCTATGATTGCTTGCATTCATACATATATGGTGTTTGGATTTTGGCCATGGTATTTGCGAGACTTTCATTTTAGTTCTTGAGGTTTGTTTAAAAGATGTGTTTAATTGGTGTTGTAGATCCTAGATTTTAAATTAAATTTGTTTTATACCCTGCTTTTTAATTTCGAACATTAGTGCCATTGAATTTACTGCACATTTGTTACTTTCTTAGTCAGGTTATTTGGCTTTAACTTATTCCTTAATTTAAGCCTTTTATAATTTATTTATTTCATGATTTTTTTTTATTTTTTCTTCTGCTTTTTATATATTTAGACTTCTTATTATTGGTTGTATATAGGTAAGATGTTATATATGCAGGTGTATTCGACCCCAATATATACGTTACAAATTGTGTTTAATTTCATTTTTATTT